GTGGTGCCCACTTCCTTTCGCTGAGCCCCATCACCCCCTGCCTCGGTTGTGGCTTCTGGGAAGGCTGGTTAGTGATGTTCACCTGCACACAAGGTGAAGGTTAAACGGTGCACAGGCCGGGTTCCCTGGCACCTAAAAGCCATCCATCCCAAGACGGGCATCTCTGAGCCCACGGAGGCCTCACTTGTCTTGGCGGGCACCTTCCCGCCCCCGCCCCCTTAGATGAGGCTTCCCCCCTGCTCCCCATGCAAAGCGATTCCCACATTCCTGCTGGTCAGGAAGTCCCCGCCTGGGCCAGCTGTCCTGGGTGGCAGAAAAGACCAAAGGCCACCACAGCTCCTGCCTTCTTTGGAGCCGCTCCAGAGACCAGCTAGAATCAGCAGAAAGACCCCCCCCCAGCCATCTTCTTCCCCACCCTCCACCCCCAGCACTACAAGGCAAGGAAAACCCACACCTGAGTCTGCAGCGCCACAGATGGGGCTGGGGGCTGCAGTTCTTCCCATGGGGGTGGTTTATAATGATGTCCGGAGAAACCAAAATTCACAGGGGCTCCCTAGACCTTCCTTGATCCCAGGCATCAGAGCAAAGGGGGAGGGGGGGTGCCAAAGAAATACCTCACAGGGTGGAAGGAAGCTAAACTAGTTTGGGGGCTGGAATTCACTCAAGGCGCCCATCCCTTGACCTGGCTACGGAAGCAGCTCCTGGCAGTCGGGCTTCAGGGTGACCTTGATCCGATCACTCTCCCTCTGCCCAGCCTACTCCACAGGGCTATTGTGTAGGGGGGCTCCGGAAGAGGAAACGCTACGCAAGGGGCCTTGCCCCAGTGGAAAAGGAAATCTGAAACGAGCCGATCAATGGTGGCTGCTTTTCCAGAATGCCCAGCTCTCAGCCAACCGCTTGGACTTTGAAGGACGCCTCCGGTGTCTGAGCTGCTCAACGTATTGATAAAGGATCTGGACGATTCTCAACGAAGCCCGGGGTTTATGTGGGAAGGAACAGGGGTGTGAATTATGTTTCCAGGAAGCAGGGATACAGGACTGGCAGCTGCTCCTCTGGAAAGGACTTGGGCATTTTGGTGACTCACCAGCTGAGCTAAGCCGACCGCGTGATGCAGCTGCAAACAAAGCCAACACAATCCGACAGCGCCCCAAGAGCAGCCTTCTTCCTTTCTCTCTTCTGCTGCTCAGACCACGCCTAGAATGTAGGGGGCGACCCTGGCCATCCGAGGTCCCCTCAGGGAGGGAGTCAGGAAGAGGTGGGAGGTCAGCTGGGGGCAGAGGGGGCAGAGGGGGAGGCCCAGCTGCTCTTCCAAAGGACTGCCAGATGACCAAGGGCCCCAGCAGGCCCATTTCACACGAGGGAGATGGCCTGCCTTGCCCTGTCAGCATCTGAACCGAGCCTGGATGGGCATCATTTGGAGGTGCTGTTTGATGGGGGCCAGACTAGATGATCTCCAAGATACCTTCAAGGCCAAGAGAACTTCCCCATGCAAAGCAAAGCAGGGAAAGGAAGGAGTGCTTGAAAGCACCCCAATATCCCTCCTTGGGGACTTGGGTGACGGAATTGTGCCCCCCATCAGGCGACTCCTGTCTCTCAAACGGGACTTTGCTGGATGAGGCTGGCACCGATCAGGATGTGCCACCCAGAACTATGCCAGGTTTGTGTTTGTGGGCTTCCTGTTACTTCCCCAGATTAATTCCTCTGTTGGAAGCAGCCAAATTCTGGGGCACAAAAGATGCACCCCCCCCCGCCTCCTCCCCACCTATCCCCCAGGTCAGCTTGGCCTCACTGGTGGGCAGCTGTTCCCCAGGGCAGCCCCGGCCCTCTCTGGGGCTGATCCCAGGCTTCTGCCAGTAGGTGCTGCCCACCAGGGCCCACTGACTGACTGGCAGACCCAGCTGGAGGCTGCAGCAACACGCATGCACATACACACATACATGCACACAAAAGATGGCATGACCGGGGCTTTTTATTTTTGGAAGGGGCAGCAGAGTCTCCCTTGGCCAAGATGCGTAAGGCTGGGTGAATGGGGAGGGGTGTCAGAGAGACTCCCCGGGGGGGAACAAGCTCTCCTCCAGGCAAACGCTGGGTGCAGACCCCCACCCCCATGGCCAAATGGGCTCTCCTCCCCCCCAGATCCAGCCTGGCTGTCCCATGTCCCTCTCCGCAGGATAGCCCCCTCCCTGCCACACATGTGGGGCACTTCCTACCAGATGCAGCTCTTTTCCCAAAATCGTTGGGTTCCCCCTTTGGTGCAAGTCACCTTAGATTCCCCCAGGCAGAAACTGAGGATTGTGGGGTAGGAAGAGGAGGAGCTTTCTACAAGACCACCCCCCCCCTTATCATTCAGCAGGGAGCTGGGGTGCCCCTCCAGCAACCGCTGCCCTCCCTCCAAGTAGAATGCCCTTGTCAGTATGCTCAGAGGACCCCTATCTGTGTGTGGGTTGCAGGAGCAGCCCAGCCCCCACCCTGGTATGCCCACCCCTCACTGCAGCATGAAGGCTCCCAACTGAAGGCACAGGCAGAGGGGATCCCCACTTCCCCATATTTAGGGGAGAGGGGACAGCCTAGAGGCCATCTGCCCCCACACTTCCTCCCTGCAAACCAGCAGCCCCACAAGTGGTGCCAAACTTGTAGGCGTCCCTAGGAGTGGAGCAGCTCCTGCCCCACAGCCCTTGGTGAAGTTGGGGCTGAGGAAAGTCAGAGCCTGCAGCCATTCTGCTGGTGAGGGGGGCAGGAGGAGCCTCCCCCCTCAAGAACCTTCTCCTCAGCCAGAAATAGACTTTGTGGGGAGGAGAGCAGAGGGGAAAGTCTGCCAAGGCTCCACTCAGAGGGCAAGGGACCCACAGGTCACCTAGTGATACAAGGACTCCAAGAAAGAGGAACCCCACAAGCGCACGCGTACGCACACACACACACACATGCGCGCGCACACACACACACACACACACACACACACACACTGCTCCTCTCAGACAGGGGCTTCCAGGTCCCCCTTCCCCTCCTGGGCTTCCTTTGCACCTGATGGGCAGAGCAGAGCAGACAGCCACAGATCCCAAGGAGGGCTTGGGGGGAGGGGCAGGGCCCTGCCTGGGCCCTCCCTCCCTCCGCACAGCCTGGAGGGGCCTCCAAGGAGGGCAGGGAGAGCAACTTGACCTCCAGCCTCTTCCCGTGGGGGGGAGGGGGGCACAGCAGCTCCCCTCCTGGATCCACCCACCGGCTGAGCCAAGGAGGAGCTGCATTTTCACAGCCTCTGGGCTAAATTTAGCTGTTTTTGCAAGGCACTTGCCGGAGGGGCCGCCGACCTTGGAAGCAGCAACAGCCAGGGGAACAGAGGCACCGGCAGTGCTGGAGGGGCTGGGGGGGCAGGAGCAGACAATCCCCCCCAGGAAAAGGGGGGAAGAGAGCCCTTCTCCAAAGGAAGCCTTCTGTCCAGGGATGGTGGCCTTCACTTTGGGGGTTTTCCCCCATGACCTCAGCCCCTCCCAAAAGAGGGCAAGGCATAACTCCCCGGAGCCTGTTCTCGACCCCTCCCCACGCACAGCTACCCAGGGAGGGGAGGTCTCCCCCTCTCACCTGAGAGGCCAGGCAGGCTGGCCGCAGCAACCCCGGCGCTGGCCGGAGCCTCCTCCCCCCCTTGCGGAAGCAGGGCAGCCCCCCAGAGGCCTCCCCAGGAGGAAAGCTCCCTCGGAAGGGAGGAGGACGGCCGGCTGCCCGCCCAGACGATGGCCGGCCGACTGCGGAAGGCTCTGCGGCCAGATGGGCGCACCCAAGAGGGGCGATACCCGGGCAGCGGCGGTTGCCTGGCAGCGGGCGCCTGACCTCAGCCCGAGGAGCGCAGTCCCTCGGGAGCCCCGTCGGCAGAGAGATGCCGTCCTGCCGAGCGCCCCAGGCCGGCCTCAGCCGCCCCGAGGAGCGAGAGCCGCAGGGACCCGCGGGGACAGGGGACCCTCGCCCAGAAGGGCCCATCGCGGAAGCCCCACACCCCAAACCGGAGCTCCCCGGGGACCCGCAGCAGCCGCCTGCCTCGCAGCTCCGGGCCCCAACGCCGACGGCCCCGCACCGCCCCTCCCGCAGCCGCCGATCAGCGCCCCCTGCGCGGTGTCCCCCCACCCCTCGGCCTCCCTGGCCCGCCACGATCGGGCGGCGAGCAGGCCGCGGGCGAACCCCAAAAGCACCGGGCGGCCCCTTTACGGCAGGGCGGAGGGAGCTGCCATCGCCGCGGCAAGCGCGGAGCCCCAGGGGAAGAGAGCCCGCCGCCGCCCGCGGGCGCCCGGTTACACACGGCGGCGACGGGAGGGGCGAAGCCGTGCCAGACTCTCGGCGGGGTCCCCCAGGAACAGCAGCGCCCCGGCCCAGGGCCCGCTTACCCATCGGGGGGCGGCCGGCGGAGCTCCTGTCCCGCACGCGCTGCAACTGGGGGCAGGGGAGGCTGCTCAGCTGGGCTCCCGCTTGCAACCCACCTCGCCCGCGCCGAGGCTGCCCGGGTGCGCTGCTCGCAGGCCCGGCCCGGAGGGGGAGCGGAGGGGGGCGGCCGGGGGTCCCCAAGCCCCTCCCCGGCCGCAGGGGGCGGCCTTACCTGGCTGCCGCCGCCGCCGCCGCCGCCGCCATTTTCCCCGCGCCGCCGCCCGGCCAAGCCCCGCCCGCCGGGAGGAGCCCTCCCGCCGCAGTCTCCGCCTCGGTCCGCCCCCACCTGCAGGCCCCGCCCCCTCAGCGCCGGAGGCTCTCTGCACGCGCCCCGGAGCCGTGCCGGGCGCCCCTCCGAGCGACTCAGCCGCCCATGCGGTGGCCTTACGGGACCCGAAGGTGGCCCTCGGCCTCCCCTTCGAACAGGAAAGCCCCGTTGCCTGGTTTTGTGGGCGCCGCGTGGATTGTGTGCCTCGTTTGGAGTCGGGGGGGCTCCACCAATTACTGCAGTCCGTTGCTCTGGAGATTGGCAGAGCCCCGTCTGACACGACCCTCGAGGGAACCCAGCTTTTTAAGCAAGGCAAGGGGGCTGGATCTACACAGCCTGGGGGGGGGGTCGTTCTTAACTGCGTGTTCACGGGGTTCCACGCGCGGGGTGGGTGTAGTTCTTATCCCAGGGGTCAACAGACAGCGGTTTGCCTGGTGCTTTGCCAACCCAGGTGTTGCCTTGAGCAGCTGCCCTGATTGCGCAACCCTTTTCTGCAGAACGGCCCTCCTGAGGCTGTGGAAATAGTGCCCAGCCCCAACCGGGAGATGGCATCACATCCTGTGGTCTAAGGAAGCGGCCCTCAAGGCCGAATCACACCCACTTCTCCACCCTCCCCAAATGACAGCAGCCTCAGGCCTTTGATGCAAGCGCCGCCCCCCCATACCTGGGCCAAGATGTCCATGGTCAATGGGGGGGGGGCTTGTACTGACATCTGGGAAAGCTGCTCTGCTCAGGCAAAAAGAAGCCCCCACCTCCTCCAAATAACAGACGCAGCCTCCACTGCTCTTTTGGCCTGTTGACTTCCAGCTTTGCTTAACGGGGAGTTTTGGGGGCTACCTTGCACCCTTGAGTTTTCCTTGCTTTCATTTCTTGTTACAGCCCCATGAAAACACCCCCCCCCCCCCCCCAAAAAAACCAGCTGCCACATGGGATGCATCTACAGGCTTCCTGAAGAGAGAGAGAGAAAAGGAACCCCCTCCCCAACCTCCAGGCCCTGAGGTAGAATCCATGGGACAGCCCCCACTGTGGGATGCCACCGCCCTGGGCTCTGATGCAGGGGAGGGGAGAGTAAACATTTAAGGGCAGAGATCCCCACCCATGTGGCCAACAATGGCCATGGTCTTCCCAGCCATCACTCAGAAAAGGTGGGTGGTCTGAAGAGTGACCAGGAAGGATCAGCATCTGGGTCTGAAGACCCTTGTGGAGGGGGAGGCAAGGGGGAGGGGCTGCTCCCTGGGAGACTGGAGGCAGATTGGACACAGCGAAAGACTTGAGGGAAGACCCAGGGGGTCTTCAAAAGGGGGGAGGGGGCTGGCCTAAGAGAAGGGGCTCAGTCTGATCCTGATCAACAGAGCAGGAACTCCCAAGAAGCAGCCAAAGGTCCGAAGTGCCCCTTGATCTTTCTCCTGGTCAAGGCGGGGCTGGGGCCTGGCAGGCACCACTGAGGGGTTTCGGGAGGGGTGGGGAGGCAGTGCCTCTGTTCTTAAAACAGATCCAGAAGAGGATTCACACCCTTCTCTCTTCTGCTAAATTTATACTGGGGTGGGGGGCTTTTGGTAGAGAAGAGTGTTGCAGAAAACCCCTATCACATAATGTGGTTGTTGGTTGGAGAGGGCACTTTTTTTACTACATGCTGCCAAGAAGACAACACAGTTTCTCTGCCAGGCCATCCTTGAGCCTCTTCCAGGACATGCTCTGCGGGCAGGAACTGAGGAACCCACCTCTTCATTCTAGGACTCCTCACTGGATCCCAACTGAAAGGGGAGGCAGCAAACAGGATGCCCGACTGTGTTTCCATATAGGTATGTATTGTATGTGTGTGTGTGTGTAATATATATATGTATTATACATGTATTTATGCGTTTATAGATGTATTTACTCATCCGCCCATCTCACTATGTGAGTAGTAGCCGAAGTTCCCTGATCGTGCTGAGAACACAAAAACAGGTTTTGTCTGTCCGATTGTGCGTCCGCACGTGCGAAGCGCAAACCCACAGCACGACTTAACTCGAGGAACAGCCTTTAGGACGGAGCAGGGATCGCGCGCGGGCTCCACTGCGCGGAACCGGCTCGGACTGCCGGGCGCCGGGCTCTCCGCGGAAGGCTGCCCCTTTGGTCTCGTGCTCCGGCCTGCGTGTTCCCGGTCTCCCCGGATCCCGGCGCGCCACGTCCCTGATTGGGCCGTTTAGAGTCGCACCTGCCGGCGGAGACCCGGGGGAGCCGCGTTGCCACGGGCTGCCTGGCGCGCAAGGGACTGGGGGGGGGGGGCGCTGGCGCAGAAGCCGCCCGCATCGCGCCATGAACGGGGTGGTTCAGGGAGCCCGGAAGGGGGCTAAGGCCGAGACCGCCGACCCCAAGGCCCCGCGGTAAAGGGGGCGCGGGGGATTCCGCCGGTGTTGGGCGTGCGCCTGGGAAGGGAGGGCGCGGAGGGGGCTGAGGGCGAGCTGGAGAAAGCCCTCGGGAGCCTCCGCAGAGGGGAGCGCGGGGTCTCTGGCGGGACCGGGGGCTTCCCCAGGGAAGGCGCGCAACGAGACCCTCCGACCTGCGTGCCTAGAGCGGGCCACCACCGGCGATCTCTGCCGTCCTCGGAGGGAGCCCGGCTCTTTCCCGAACGGTGCATTCCCACAACATCTGTGGCACCGAGCATTCTCCCTTCTCCCCGTGCCCGGTTTTCACCCGGCTGTTTTTTCTTCGGGTTGGCGGTTAACTTTTAGGTAGTTTATGCCGATTGCCTGACCTGCGGAATGGGCAACTTGGGTCATTTTGGGGTGCGGGTGGCATGCAGACTGGCATCTGTTACTCCCCAGGAAGAGGAGTTCAGACCCTGCCAGCCCTCTCAAGGCCTTTCCTCTGCGGAAGATGGCAAGGCCAAGGAGAAGGTGGCCTAAGCCTGACCTTCTGCAACACCTCTGGGCAGTCTGGCACACAGAGCAATGCCACAGGGTCCCCCCTTAAAATGTGACATCCCCCAGAAGTTTCGGGGGGGCCTCTTTACTCACCCCTGACACTGGCCAAGCCCCCCCCCCCACCTCAAAGAAGCCAAGGGGCGGCCTCTGTGGCCTCAGCTGCCCCCAGGCAGAAAAGGCAGCGATCAGATCTGCCCATGGCAATGCCTCCCTCACCCCCAATGCCAAGTGAGCAGCTGGTGCTGACCCAATTTACGGCATGTGTTAAAGGCAAGGAATGGGGGCTTCCCCAGCCTTGTTTCCTCCCCTTCTATCAAACCCCCAGCTCTCAGGAAAGCATCCCCAAGTAGGCCGGGGGCTCCGAGTGGAGATGGCTGGACCTGACCCCCACCTTCCCACAGCAACCGTTGGGCCTTCAGAGGGAAGGGAGGAGCAGCAGCTGGCAGGGCCAAAGCAGGAAGTCGTGAAGAGGCAGCTGTAGGACCCCTCTCGTCCCCCTGATTCTCCAGGGGGCTCTGTTGCAGTCCAGGCTGCTCCAGCCCCACAGAGGGAAGCCCCTCAGGAGCCTGCCAAGGGTGGAGAGAGAGAGCCAATCTGAAAAGAGCAAGACTCTCTTGGTGACAAGCAGAGGGGCCCTCAGACGGAACCCGGCATGCCTGGGATGGTCCCAGGGCCTCAGGACCACCAGAGTGGGCCACCAGCAGAAGGCCTTGGGGAAGCAGGACAGCTACTGCTAAGCAGGAAGGCTTCTTTAAATCAGGCACTGTTAAGGCGGACTCTGGTTTGATGTGGGGTCTGATGGCAGCAACATAACCTCACAAGAGCCTGGCATAAAAAGGAGCCTAGGATGCAGGCAAGAAAGGAGGCCACATCCCGAGGGGTGGGGGTGCGAGAGAGCCACAACTGCCCTTTGGGGGTGTCTGTCTGGGACGCCCCCTGCTGGAGTGGTTCCCACCAGAGTCCTTTGCCAGCCCTGCTTCTTCCATTGTGGATCCTAAGAGTTTTATATTTACTTACTTACTTACAGTTGCACCTAAGTTAAAACATAGAATTTTAAGATCAAGCATTAAAACCAAAGACACACAGGGAGGGAGGGTGGGGGGGGCGGCAGATTGGGGGGGGAGGGGAGATCTTTTGTTACTGGATCCACCACCTCCATTGCACGGTTCCCCCACTCTGGGCTCACTTCTTGAGGCCCTACCAAAAAGGTAGGAGGGTTGTGGCCAACCTCACACCAAGGGGGGGGCAAGATGTTACAGAGGGCAACAAGAGAGAAGCCCCCCCTCCTCCTGGACTCCACCAGCTGGAATAATCGGGCTGACGGGACCCACAGTAATGCCTCCTCCACCAGCATGAGTGGGACGGGCCAATCCCTGTGGGGTGAGATGGTCCCTCGAGTAACCTGGCCCCATGCCATGAAGGGCTTTAAAGGTGATCACGAGCCCCCTAATGGCACTCGCAAAGAGTCTCTCGCTCCCGGCTTTCTCCCCCCCTGCAGCACGGCCTCAGGCAGTGGGACTCGCATCCTGGACCCTTCTGGAGACAAATACTACTACTGGCTGATCCTGATGGTGCCCCCCATCCTTTACAACTGGGTCATCCTCATCTGCAGGTAGGGCGCTAGAGGGGGCGGGGGGTCTGACCCGCCACAAGCTGCCATGCGCAAAGGAGCTCCTGAACTGCGTCCAAAATCAGCAGAGGGCCAAGAAAACCCCAACTCAATTCCTCCCCATCAAAGGTGGACATTTTTATCGGCCAAGCCAGGAGCAGTCAGAAAAACTAGAGGTGCAAAAGCCCTTCCAGCGGAGGAGGAAGGAAGGGGTGACCGGCCCAGAGCAGGGGGACCCTTGTGTGGGGCAGCCCAAAAAGGCAGAGCAGGGGACAGGCCTTTGTGGGGGCTCGGGGGGGGGGTGTTGCAGAATGGAGAGGGCGGCTCAGCCAGGGAGGGAGGGAGGGAGCATGGCCGCTGCCATGGGGCAGAGCTGGAGTGGTGGTGGGGGGTGTAGAGGCCTTCACGCGTCTCCTGTCCTTCCCAGGTTCTGCTTCCCTGAACTGCAGCAGAGGTACCTGCTGCTCTGGCTGGCCTTGGACTACCTCTGCGACCTGCTCTACCTGTTGGACATTGTGGTGCATTTCCATACAGGTTAGTGGGGTAGAAAGACATCCCTCAGGAGGCCAGAGCTGCCCAATTGGGAGCCCTGAAGAAGCGGGGGGGGCAGGGAGCCCATCTGGAGGGAGGAGAATTTGGAGGGCTCCATCACATGCTGCTGCCCCACAGTCAAAGTGGAGGGCCTGAGGAGGGGGTGGGGTGACCTTCCTGCTCCCCCCATGGAGGGCTGCCTCTTGTCGCTGATCTTCCCACCAAGTGGGCTGGGCCTCCTCCGCCCCCTCCCCAAAACCTTGCACCTAGTTTGGCGACTCTGAACTCACTCAGGATAGAGTTGCCAGGGGGTGCAACCCCCAAAGCTCAGCCCAGGCCTGGGGGGAATCCGGGGCTCCTGGGCCGGCTGAACTTCGGGATCACAGATCTGAAGTGCTGGGTTATGATTCCTGCCCCTGAAGTGTTTGCAGATGCCCCCCCAACTCAGTCCTGAGCCCTTGGGATGCCAGGCCGAGGAGCGTGACCCAGCGTGATCCCTCTGGGAGGAGACCCTGGCTTTGGAGGGAGGCGGAGTCTGCACTGGGGGGCTGGTAATGGGCGGTCCATGGGTTTGCTCACTAATGGGTGTAAGCCAACCCAAAGGGACTCTGGAAGAGCACTCTCCCCCACCCCACTTTTCTCTGGGGTGGGAGAGAAGCAATGCATGCCAGACTTCCTGACCCCCAAGAGGAAGAGTGGGGCGCAGAGTCTGCAAACCGATACAGGAGAATATTTGCAGCTCAGGGTTGAAATGAAGGGTCCTTGGTGTGTGTTCTCTGACCTGGGGGGAGGTTCCTTGCAGACATTTCATTATACAAACTAGGCAACAACATCAGCGCACTGATGGTATTACCTAGTTTGGGTAACAAAACATCTGCAAGGAAACCTGGGCAGCTTCAGAATTTTTGCCTAGAGTGGTGCATTACAGCCTCTTTCTCCTGCACAGGAGCGCTGAGCCCTTTTGGCTGCCCAGGCTGACAGTCCTCGGGATTCTGGGAGATTTGCATCCAAAAGGAATACCAAACACACACTTACAAAGACATCCAGGTCATCCCCCCCACCCCCCACTCCAAAAAAAGCTACTTAAATTCCAGCTGCTTTGCAAATAATCAGCCAGCAGAGGGCGCCCTTTAACAGGCCAGAAATACAAAGCCAGCAAAAAAAAAGGAAGCAGGAAGGCTGCATGTCCAGAAAACATGGAAAATAACCCCATCTAGGTCTTCAAGGACTTCCACAGTGGGAGAGCCAGTGGGCTCTCTGGTGGGGTGATGTTCCCAGGACAGGAGCCACAACAGAGGAGGTGCTGCACTTCCTCGGTCTTTGAACACAGTTCAAAGGGTCCAGGCTGAATTGGGCCCAGATCCCAGCTGGTTACCCGAGGAGACCTCATATGGTCCTGCTGCCGCTGAACTTCCCTGCCCCAGCCAGCCACCAAGGCCTGAAGGGTGAGCCGGTGGTAGTTGCTGGGCGCTGCCCTCAGAACACTTTGCCAGGGCATCCTGATCCCCAAAGGCCCGCAGCTGCCCTACCAGCCAAGGCCGAGCTTCGATCACAGCCAATGAGACCAAGAGAACCCCGGAGGACCCAGACTGGCACTGCCCGTTATGGAAGGAGCAGGACGCCGTCCCACCTGTGCTGGTGGCCCACCAGGATGCTGCCCTGATCACGTGGTTCTGCCCTCCTACAAGGGGCCAGGAGTGATGCACCCCCAATGTGGTGGGGAGCAGTTAGCCAGGGACCAAGGCAGCTCCTGTCCCGTGACTTCACACAAGAGCTCCAGCTCTTCCTTTAGCTGAAGCCCCACCGCTTTCTCCAGAATCCTCCCCCCTCCAAAGGCTTAGATTGGGTTGGGAAGAATCCTCCAGTCCAGCTGGATCAAGGCAGGCAGTGACTTCAGTGGTGGGTTTCAAATTTTTTTACTACCAGTTCTGTGGGCGTGGTTTGGTGGGCATGGCAGGGGAAGGATACTGCAAAATCCCCATTTCCTCCCGATCAGCTGGGACTTGGGAGGCAGAGAATAGATGGGGGCGGGGCCAGTCAGAATTTTTACTACCAGTTCTCTGAACTACTCAAAATTTCCGCTACCGGTTCTCCAGAACTGGTCAGAACTTGCTGAAACCCACCTCTGAGTGACTCCCTTCCTCAGAGGGCTGGTCATTTCTCCTATCTGGGCACACACAGATGCCCAGAAAAGCCAGTTGGGGGATTCCCTGTGCATCTCCTTGGCTTCTCCAAGCAATCTTGCCAGAGGTTGCTGGCACAACAGGTTGCTCGGGGACTTTCTTCTGAGGGACTTGCTCATGGGTAGCAGACACCGGCAGCAGCCATGACTGTGGAGGGGAGCTGTTTAAGTGGGGCAGCAGAATGGCTCCTCCAGCCCTTTGCCAAGCACCTCTCCTATCCCCCCCATGCTGATGCCTCCCCCCTTTCTCTGCCAGGCTTCCTGGAAGAAGGGTCCCTGATTCAAGACCGTGCCCAGATCTCCCGAAGGTACCTGTGTTCCTCGTCCTTCCTGTGGGACTTCCTTTCTGTGCTGCCCACTGACCTCCTCTACCTGTACGTGGGGCTGGACAGGCCAGCGGTCCGAGCCAACCGCTTTCTGCGGAGCCCCCGCTTGTTTGAGGCCTTTGATCGCATCGAGACACGTACAGCGCACCCCAACTCCTTCCGCATCTCCAAGCTGATGCTCTACATCTTCGTCACCATCCACTGGAACAGCTGTGTCTACTTTGCGCTCTCCGACTTCATCGGCTTTGGCACGGACGAGTGGGTCTACCCCAACAGCAGCCTGCCCGGCTTCGACCGGCTCCTTCGCCAGTACCTCTACAGCTTCTACTTCTCCACCCTCATCCTGACCACGGTGGGCGATACCCCCATGCCCCAGCGGGAGGAGGAGTTCCTCTTCATGGCCATCGACTTCCTCCTGGCCGTCATGGGCTTTGCCACCATCATGGGGAGCATGTCGTCCGTCATCTCCAACATGAACCACGCTGACAAGTCCTTCTACCCCAATTACGACCTAGTGAAGGACTACCTGCACTCCCAGCAGATCAGCCGGCAGCTGCAGCACCGGGTGGTTGACTGGCAGCAGCACCTGCAGATGAATAAGAAGATGACCAACGAGCTGCAGATCCTCCAGCACCTGCCCGAGCGCCTGCGAGCCGAGGTGGCCATCAGCGTCCACCTGCCCACCCTTCGCAAGGTCCAGATCTTCCAGAACTGCGAGCAGAGCCTGTTGGAGGAGCTGGTGCTCAAGCTGAAGCCACAGGTCTACAGCCCCGGGGAGTATGTGTGCCGGAAGGGGGACATCGGCCGGGAGATGTACTTCATCCGCGAAGGGCAGCTGGCCGTGGTGGCGGACGATGGTGTGACCCAGTATGCTGTGCTGGGGGAGGGGCTGTACTTTGGAGAGATCAGCATCATCAGCATCAAAGGTGAGGGGAGGGGAAGGGGAGGGATCCCCGCAGGGTACCACCTGAGCTGCAGAGGAGCAGATCCCCCAGTTGAGAACTGTGAGGGTCCCCTCCTTTGGGGGTTGAAGAACATGCCTGTTGCATCTCTTTGTTCGGGTTCTCCAGCAGTTCAGTGCTGCTTTTCACTGACCAGAAGGGGAGGCGCCTACTGAGGACATCACAGTTGAGAATTGGGGAGATGACCTGGAGGGAAGTTTGTAAGAGCCATCACATAAGCAAAGGGAGCTGAAACTTTCCTTAAGTCTTGGGAGACAAGATAACATTTGGAAGTGGCTCAGAAAGACTCCTCCCCGATTGACTGGGGATTGTCAGACTTAACCCAAGAATGATGCAAAACAATCCAGCCAAAGTTCTTTGCATGTAGACAGAATCTTGGCAGACTCAACCCTTACTACTCTCAACGGCTTCTTATCTTGGGCGATCCTAGGCTGCCCTAAATCTCTTCCTCTTCACACCTCCAGCTCCAGACTGTGCTGTCTCTTGCCTGCCTCCCCTCCCTCCCTCCCTGAAATGCACCCCTCCTGCCTGGAAACCATCCTGCATTACTGTGGTCCATCACAGGCATAAGAGGAAGGGGAGGTAAAGCACAGAGAGGCCTGCAAGATTCAATTATCACTGCCTCTCTCGAACTCTAGTTCTAGAGTCTTCCCATGTCGGTGGAGATTCTCAGTCATCCAGGTCCTGGTTGTCCCAAAGGTGTTTTTTTCAAGAGGCAAATAGTCTTCCTTGTTTTTCTTTGAAGATGTTTCACTTCTCATCCAAGAAGCTTCTTCAACTCTGACTGGATGGTTGGGAATGGAAGGATTTATACTCCTAGCAGACAGCTGGTCATTTGCATCCTTTCAGAGAGTTGTTGAGGCCACCTGGAGGTTTATCTGTATCAAGATAGATGATTTTGTATCCCTCCCCCTCTGTCAATTCAATTTTGACATAGATGGCCTCTTTGACCCTTCTGTAAATCTCTCTATCTAAAATGCGGACTTTGATGTCTTCAAAAGACTGGCCTTTAAATGCAAATGGACTGCTGAATCTTGTTCTGATGGGTTTGTTCTCCTATGTTGTGCCATGCGTTTATGAAGTGTTTGTTTTGTTTCCCCAATGTACAGATCTCATATGGCTCACTTCATTGTACCGCATATACAGGTTGGTCAGGTATATGCAGTACAATCAGCTGCAGTCTTAGCACGTGCAGGAGCCTCTCCCAAATCTTCCTGCTTCCCCGCCCCTCAGGGAACCAATCCGGGAACCGCCGTACGGCCAACATCAAAAGCATCGGCTACTCGGACCTCTTCTGCCTCTCCAAGGAGGACCTCAAGGAGGTGCTGGCCGAGTTCCCCAATGCCAAGGCGGTGATGGAGGCCAAGGGCCGGGAGATCCTGCTCAAGATGAACAAGCTGGACATCAATGCCGAGGCAGCCGAGATTGCCAAGCAGGAGGAGGAGGAGCGACGGACGGCAGCCCTGGAGGACGGGCTGGACGCCCTGCAGACGAAACTGGCCCGTGTCCTGGCAGGGCTGGAGTCCAGCGCCTTCAAGATCGCCCTGCGCCTGGAGCGCCTGGAGTGGCAGGTGCAGGTTTGGGGGGAAGGGGAGGGGAATGGGGATGGCGCAGAGGAGGGGACCGAGGCTTAGGTGTCCCCCTGCGCCCTTTCACCAGCTGGCCTTGGGGCTGCAGCTTCTGCTGGGGGATGAGCCGTTTTTAGGGAAGAGCCTTCCTGGATCTGGAGTCTTCCACTTCAGATGCAGGGGGCAGGAAGGGAGGCTAGCTGGAAAAGGAACCCAGAGCAACGTTCCCTGGGTGCAGGCTGTGTTGGTGGGGGGTGGGATCCTGACCCATCAACCACATCCTCCCTCCCTTCCTCCCTCCCTCCCTCCCTGTTTTTCTGAGTGTGGGGTGGGGACAGAGTCGCCCCAGGGCTCCTGTATGGGGTCTTGGAGAGGGGCAGCCAATGAAGGTGCCTGCAGCCTCAGGGCCTTGGTAGACTCATGTAATGTAAGGCTCACAAGGGGCCTTGGAGGTCAGCTAGAGGGTGACATTCCCGATAGACAGCCTCTCTTCAAAGGGGAGTCCACCAGCCCCAGAGCCGCCCTCGTCCACCGTCCTGACTGTGATCAGCTGCCATTGTTTGTCTTTCTTCTGGACCAACCGCAAAGAATTCCTCCCATTCGCTCTAGGACAGCCCTCAAATACACACACACACACACACACACACACACAGGTCTCCAGCCCTTCTGGGCCCTGGTCACTTTCCCTGCTCCCCCCTGTGGGGGCTCTGGACAGAGGAAGATGGAGGTCAGAAGTCCAGAGAGCCATCTGCGGGCCCTGCACCTCAGCAGCCCTCGGCCACCTCAGGCGGCTTTCTGGTATTTTAATTGGCCTTATTTCTCTTTCCCTTTCATATGTTTTGCTAGCAACTTGCCATAAGCCTTAACTTTCAAGAAGAATGTAAAAAAGCCTTTTCTTTGGCCAAAGTGTTTGATACGTAGTAAATAAAATACTTTTGTTTTCTCCTGTCTCCAAGCTTCAACAAACAAAGCACTGTGAATGTATCTTTTTTGTGTTGTTGGTCGGGAAGTCGTGTCCGACCCATCGCGACCCCATGGACAACGTTCCTCCAGGCCTTCCTGTCCTCTACCATCCCCTGGAGCCCATTGAAGCTCACGCCGGCTGCTTCGGTGACTCCATCCAGCCACCTCATTCTCTGCCGTCCCCTTCTTCCTTTGCCCTCAATCGTTCCCAGCATTCGGCTCTTCTCCAGCGAGTCCGTCCTTCTCCTTAGGTGGCCAAAGGGTTTGAGTTTCATCTTCAGGATCTGGCCTTCTCAAGAGCAGCCAGGGTTGAATGTATCTTTACCAATGACCTATTCCAGTGTTTTTTCCTTTGCAAATGGTTCTTTTACTTTTATTCAGAATACAATGTTCTTTTCCGTTCTAATCCTTTCATATTATTAGATGTCTAATTTTTCATAATATAACTTGATAGATGACTCTTCCTAATCCAATCAACTTTTACCTTGAAGTTTTTTTGTTACCCAAACTATGAAAAAGAAATGCAATCTATATTCCAGGTTCTGTCTCTTATAAAAGGGAATTCTTTTTCTCAGAAGGTTCCAAACAAATCATGGTCTTCCAGTCATAGAACATAGAATAATAGAGTTCAAAGGGACCTTGGAGGTCTTCTAGTCCAACCCCCTGCTTGAGAAGAAGACCCTAGACCGTGATGGCGAACCTATGGCACACGTGCCACAGGTGGCACGCGGAGCCATATCTGGGCACACGAGTGTTGCCCTAGCTCAGCTTCAGTGTGCATGTGCACACAAGCCAGCTGATTTTCGGGCCTTCCGGGCCCACCGGAAGTCAGGAAAGAGGCCATTTCTGGCCTCCAAAGGGCCTCCAGGGGGATTGGGAAGGCCGTTTTCACCCTCCCCAGGCTCCAACAAAGCCTCTGAAGCCTGGGGAGGGCAAAAAACAGGCGTACCGGGCCCACCATGCCATCGCGTGCCAAAAGCGTGGGGAGTGTGGGGGGAGTTTGCACGCACATATGTGGGGGGGCAGGGCACATTGAATTATGGGTGTGGGCATGCACACGCACGACCCTCCTGTGCTCCCCCCCACTTTTGGCACAGGATGGCAAAAAGGTTAGCCATCACGGCTCTAGACCTTTCCAGAAAATTGGCTGTCCAATCTCTGCTTAAAAGCCTCCAGTGTGGAGCATTCACAACTTCTGGAGGCAACTTCTGTTCCACTGGTTAATTGTCCTCACTGTTAGGAAGTTTCTCCTTAGTTCTGTGTTGCTTCTCTCCTTGGTTAGTTTCCATCTGTTGCTTCTTGTCCTGCCTTCTGGTGCTTTGGAAAATAGTTTGACCCCTCATTTTTGTAGAAGCCCCTCAAATATTTGGCACACCGATTTCCTGCCTCCCCATGACCTTCTTTTCACTAAACCAGACATCCCCAATTCCCACAACTGTTCTTCATATGTTTTAGCCTCCAGCCCCCTAATCATTTTTGTTCCTGTTCTCTGCACAAGTCCTGGTATTTTAACTGGGATCCAATAAATCGAGGCAAGAACCTGGAGCCACATTTGGCCATCAAAATCAGCCCCTTTCTCAGTCCAGCCACCGGGGGGGGGAGCGATGACCCCCTTCTGTGTGCTCTCCTGGGCTGCTCCCCTCGCTTTGGCTTGGCCTTTGGCAAGTTGCCTGGCTGGCCGCAAATTGTATAAACGAACACAAATGTCAATCCTGATGTTGGCCAGGGACAGCATTGGCCGCCTGCAGTCCAATTGAATGGTGAAGCTAAAACTCCTTCGGCTGACGGCTTCTGGGAGTTGAGGCTTCGGCAGATGACGTCCAGATGAAGCCCCTCGGCCGCTCTCTCCATTGTCTGTCTGTTTAGAGAGTCAGACCGTGACCTGGGTGGCGATATGCAAGCGCCATTGCCAAGGCAACCAGGGGGAAACACTTCTTAATGTCCGGAACAAGCAGACAACATTCTGAAGTGGCTCTGATGGACACACACACACACCTGCCCGCCCCCGCCCGCCCCCCCTTTAATCCACTGAATTTGAAAGAGGGGGGGGCAGCGGGAGGAACAACATAACCCAGTTTCCAAAATTCAATTCCTGCAGCCAAAGCAGCTTTAGGCTTTGCTCACTCAGCCTGGTCTCCCTTGAGGAGCTGAGAGTTTGTGTCTCTTTGGTTGAGAGCCCTCGGGGTGCCCACCTGCGGGGCCAAAGGGAGACGGGCCCCGGCCGTCCAGAGGACCCCTGCAGGTTTGGCCGAGTGTCCACACCAGAATGAGGGTTGGGCAAGCATGGATTGTGCTGAGGGGGAGTGGACAGACGTAGGGGAGACCGGAGGCTCATTTCCCTATAGAATAAAAATGGCAGGAACACCCAATGCCTGCCTCCCTTTCAGTCCCTTTGAGAAGACCCTCACCCATCCCATCACCCACAATCCTGGTGGACTCCAAGCACACACACACACACACACACACACACACACACACACAGAGACCCCTTTTGTTTTGCAGCCAGAGACCCTTCCTGGAGGTGGAGCGCCTGGGCCCCTCTGGTGGGCCCCTCTGGTGGGCTTTGTGCCGCCCTCTGCCTCACAGCTCCCTCACGGAGGGTCCCCCGCAGCCTCTCGGCAGCCCCAGGCCCTGGTTCGTCAGCCAGCCAACGCAGGCGCCAGAGGGGGTGCAAGCTCACAGAGCGGGGTGGCCAGCAAGGGACTTTGGCTCTCCAGGCGCTTTGCGTATCTCTCACAGACCGCTGCCACAAGGAGGCTCTCGGCCCTGCCCAAGGACCCTTGGCTCCATCTGGGTGAAGTGATGGGCTCTTTCGCTAAAGGCTGCTGGCTGCACTGAAGTCAGACTAGAACTACATTTCCCCTGTTAAAGGCTACGAATATCTTCCTTCACCCGAGCCCTCTCCCCGCGACCAGTCTGTCTTCAGCCAATGAAGAGCCCCCTGGGTGTTTTGAGAAACGCTGGGATGTTTGGGGGAATCCACATTCCTTCTCAGGGCGTGTGGCCTTGGGCGCTAGCACACACCTCTTCTGAGCTTCTCTTCTTCCTCAAACTCTCATTCCCCGCTCCCTATTTCCCATCACATGCCATGCACATGTAGTCCTCCTATTCCCCCCCCCCCGCTTGCTTCCTCCCTCCTGGCCTATGAAGGCAGGATGCCAGCAAGGTGCCAAGCCAAAGATGGCGGATCTGACAGAGGCATCCTCAAAAGGAGAGGCCGGTGCTCCTGTGCGTGTGCAGAGTGAGTGTCCTTGCAGCCAACCCATCTGAAGTCTCCAGCCTGAGGACTATGGAGCTCCCAGCATGAACCACAGCAGGCAACGGGCCCTGAGTGGGTGCTCTTCTCTCTCTCTCTCTCTCTCTCTCTCTGCCACCCCCTTCATGTGCGTTCCCTGTCCCTGCCTCCCGGCAGACATCCTTCTGTGTCAAAACACAGCCCTCCCACGTATGCAGGCAGCACACAGAACTATTGTCAGGCAAAGCGGGGGGGGAGGGGGCCTTGAAACGCCCAGCCACTTCAGTGCTGCGTGGGAATGCAGTTACGCCCAGGTGAGAAAAAGACACTCCTGATCCTCCACAGCAGCTCTGGAGACAGGTGGGGGCCTAAAAATAACCCAACTGGGGCAGAATGTGGGGTGAGAGGCTTGCCAGAAGAGCCCTGGCATCCTAAGCTTGAGGGAGGGGAGGCAGGCATGGGGATAGAGAGGGGCCCAACTTTCAGACAGGAGCCTTGCCCCTCCCTGTCAAAAAGACCCACACACGCCATCTGAGAGGCTTTGGGTCAAGACCTCCTGTGGGCTATTTGTGGGGCGCATAAGGTGCTTAATTAAGGCCCCCCCAGACACACACTACTCCACCCAGAGGCTGAGAGTCTCCAGTGTGGGCTCCTGGCCTGCCTTTGCTCAGCTCCCCTGGGGCTGGTGGACCTTCAGCCTGGATCAGGAGGCTTCCTACCTGCGTTGGGGGAGGGGGAGAGGAGTTTTGGGCTCCTCTGGGCCAGTTTGTGATCCTGTCGGATGCCCATCACTCAGCAGGGAGCAGGAGAAGCACAGGGGGGGTCACCAGCCATCTTCACACAGCATGTGCAACCAGGTCAGCCAAAGGCGCAGTGGCTCCACTGCTTAACAGACTCAGTAGGTTTAATCTGGGGTGAGTTTTTATGGCAAAGTCTGCTCTGGAATCCCAGCCTGTTTAGTTAATTTAGGGCATGAGGATCTGGTCCCCATGAAGAATCGCCTGCATGAAGGAACCCGGCATCAGCTGCCAGAATACCTCACCAGAAGAACAACGCCAATCCGCGTGTAAGCTTGGGGGTCTGGTGATGAAGTGAGGAGGGGGTGCCGCCGCTCTTCCAGAAGAAAAGCCTGGCCGGCTGGAGAGGAGGCATCGGCATGTGGCGGTGTGAACCGCTTAAGTTTTTTGTGGGTGAATGAGCAGCGGAGGGGCAAAGCCCCTTTTGGACCGCTTCCCCTCGCACAGGGAGATGGAACCGACCAGGTGGTTCCGTCCCAGGCGCCTGATGGACCCTGAGAGGTTCCTGACGGAGCTTGGGCCATTCCCAGAGGCTCTGACTCACGGCTGGGCTGAAGAACTGGCGGCCGCCTGGGATAGGGCGGCTGCCGGAGCCTTGGACTGCGTCGTGCCTTTGCGGCCTCTGACTTGGTGCCGTTCTCAACTGGCTCCTTGGTTCTCCAAGGAGCTGAGAGAGATGAAGCGCCGGAAAAGACGCCTAGAGAGCGATTGGAGGGCCAGCCGCACCGAACCTGACCAAACACTGGTGAGGTCTTATATCAAGACCTACCTAGTGGCAATAAGAGTGGCGAAATTTAATTATTTTTCCACTCTCATTGCATCTGCAGAGGACTGCCCAGCTGCCTTGTTTAGGGTGACCCACTCCCTACTGCAGGTAGGAGTGAGGGAGGATCCCTTGCAGGATAGAGCTGAGGATTTTGTGCAATATCTGCATGATAAAATTGCTCAGATTCAGGGCGGCTTGGACTCCAACTGGGTAGCCTCGGACGGGATGATGGAGGTGAGTCTTGAGAATGTTATCTGGGAGGAGTTTGACCCTGTGACTCCTGACGACGTGGACAGGATTCTGGGGAGGCTTAACGCTACCACGTTTATTGGACCCGTGTCCCTCCTGGTTGGTGCTGGCCTACCGGGAGGTTACACAAGGCTGGTTTCAGGAGATTATCAACGCTGCGTTGAGTGAGGGCGTCTTCCCATCCGCCCTGAAAGAGGCAGTGGTGAGGCCCCTCCTCAAGAAGCCTTCCCTGGACCCGGCTGTATTAACTAATTATCGTCCTGCCTCCAACCTCTGCTTCACGGCGAAGGTTGTTGAGAGTGTGGTGGCGAGACAGCTTCCTCGGTTCCTGGATGAAGCCGTCTATCTAGATCCATGCCAGTCGGGCTTCAGAGCGGGTTACAGCACGGAAACGGCATTGATCGCATTGGTTGATGATCTCGAG